TACACACATTTTTGTAAAGTGGGATTTGAGACCATCTCCATGTGGGATCTCAGACAGCTTTGCCACTCTGCCATATGGCCAACTTTGTGGAGTGGCTCATGGACATTTTCTCCCAACTCAGGAATTGAACTGTTAGCACTTTCAAAGATGTTGTTGGTCTCAGGGTAACATCCTTAACTTTGTTTACTCCTTGCCTGACTTGTCAGTATGGAAGGTCAGCCTGATTTAGGCAGCTTCAGAAAGTTTAATATACCCATTGATCGACTTCACTGTGCTCTGAGCATTCAAGTTTTAATTTCAAATCCTTTCTTCTAAAATGTATATAGACCATTTAAAAATTCAATAAAATGGGACATCAAGGGAAGAGCGTAATATTATTTATAAAACATTGAGCAGGAATAAAGCTCATATTAATGTAGAAACAAAATTTCACTTATGGAAGGGATGAAAGAGATGCCATATCTTACACAGAAGAAAACTTTCCATAGAGTAATTTCTGTTGTGAATCTGAAAAGCACTATGAAAATAGGCTAACATACTTGCAAATATATACTGTACTATAGAGCTTGTTTCTTTTTAAAATGCTATGGGGTTTGAGGTTTGCATAAACACATTAGGATCAGGAAATCAACATGATTAATAGTCCAGATTTCACATTTGTTTACAAGGTATTTCTTAAAAGAACACTAAATAATACGGATACCCATGTATAATTATTAGCTGTGATCACCTAAATTGCACTTTCCAAATTATCTGTTTAGAAAATTAATTTATGTGTGTAAAACAATGTCAAGTCTATCTGTATCTGTACCTTTTGGTGGTGAAAGAGGATGGTAGTAATCTTTACTGCTGCTTACAGAGATTAAGAGGTGTTTTTTTTTTAGTTTGGAAACTTTGTGAAAACAGAAATGAACATGATAAGGTTCAAAACAACAGAGTGGAGCAACTATATCCAAAATGTTTTCTTTAAAAGAGAAGCCTGTCTGCTTTTACCTTGAAGTCCATTCCCTTGGGAGGAATTGTTATCAAATGGTTCTCATTACTCGTTTTAAACATTCCAGAAGGTCCCAACAGAATGCATGGACATATGTCTAAAAGCCAAGCTTGTTAGGATTTAGGCAGGTTAGAATTAAAAACCAATAATGTTTTTCAAAACAAAGTCATACATATATTGTGTACAATCTTTGAGTTAAAGAACTGCAGTTCTCTTTGCATATCTTCAAATTTGTGGTCACCATTTGGTCTGAGTTGTTTTTTTTTTTATTTTAGAGTGGGCTTCAAATTGAAAAGTGCTGCTACCCACCACATTTTTAATTGTTCTCTAGGGGAAAATGGGATTAGGTGTGTAAAAACAGATCATTTTAACAATACTCTTTCACGATGCATATGATCTCTGATTACTATATTTTTCATTAGATAAGAGCATTTAAATTGGACTACAGGAGTTTGAGGATAAACCGATAAATAAAAATTATATGCACATCCAAATGTGAGCCTGGGATAGGAAATTGTGTGTCTAAATTTATTTATTTTATATTCTTTTTGAAATGCAAGTAAGCTTTTTGCTCAAAAAAGCACTTAGTAAAATGGATAACTTAATGGTAGCAAAGTACAACGCATCTGCTTAGTCATATTAGAGACATCTTTCTCAAGTGGGTCTACTAATGTCATTAGCCCAATGTTGGGATTCCAGTTGCTTTCCATCTACTCATTCATGATATAAATCATAGTTACATACAGTAGAAACAAAAGAGGAAAAGTAAAACATGATGACCATAGATTGAGACCACCATGAAATTCCTGAGGGTATAATATATGGACCTATATCTATGTGAGTGGCTTCAGAAAAAAGAGCATTTTTTAAACTAGGGAAGGGATCTGATGCATGCACTACACGTAATAGAGGAACAGCTGTTTGGTTTTAATAGCAGGGGAGCAAGTCTGAAGGTGAAGATAGATCTATGTGTTTTTAGGGGAAAGCTTAGAAGACTCATACTTTGATGGTGTCTGTGTTGCTACAATGCAAATGTTTTGTAACAGGGGATTTGCTGTGCATATACACTGCATTTTTTAATTCCCAGAAGGTGAGGAAAAAAACAGTCTATGAGTGCTGAGATCTCCTATCATTGAGTGTGATACAACACACCAGGTGTGCCCTCTTGGTAGTCTGTTTGTACCCCCTTATTTGGATATCTTCGGCTGAATCATATTAATCATCACCAAATTAATCAGAACATGTGATGACTAGTGTTTCGCATCTGTGTGCATTATGCTCCAAGAAATTCTTCTCTTATAACGCAGGGACTTCACACACAATCCTCTTGTTTTTATGCCTGAATATTTTACATTATTTTGTCTCCTTTCTATTAAAGCATAAGACATTATTCTGATCAGCAACCATAATCAAATGTCTAAACAGCAGTCAAACTGAATATACATCTTAAATATTCCTACAAAATGTATATTATAGAAAACCATAGTAAATTCCAGTAAAGCACAGTCAAGGCAGAATATGTGGAAAGATCTGGTCAAGCATTACACAAGCTGTGAGGATCTATGACAAAGCAAAGCATTTTGTAAAATCCATGTCTTTTTTTTTCTTCCCCATATAGTCTAGAGACGATGTATGGTAAATGATGTAAGAATACAAACATTTATCATTTTCTTTTTAGAATGTATGTTTCTACTGATAGTGTACAAACTGTACATACAAAACCCTGCACTTCATCTGATACAAGTTTGCATCATCTTGAATATTATCTAAAATATTAAATGAAGGGGATATTCATGTTGAATAAATTACTGACTTTAAAAATCCCCCCAAATAATTGCTAATTACTGCAGATAACAAAGAAAGCCTTCCTAACTGTGCAAAGGAACGTTTTACATGAGTTAACAGTTAAATTTTTGCTGAGCTAAGAAGTAACTATTCCTGAACAATATATTAACATCAGTGCTGATTGCCTTTACAGAAAGACATTTTGGGGGGCGAACGAAGGATAAAATGTGTTCCTGCTGACCAGCTATAGTGTGAACAGATGGATAATTTGCTTGATTCTGTGATGGTCAATATTCTACTCAGGAAGGTGCAACACAGTACGTCTGATGGACTTAACTGGGAGACCAATGAAGAATTATATGGTGCCGAGTAGAATCTTTAAACAAATTCTGCTTTACAATACAGTGCCCTTTGGTTTTCTGTTCTTTTCTGTTTCTTTCTGGATCTCCATTGCTCTACTTTGATGTCTTTGGGATATCAAAACAGTTAATCACTGTAATAAGGACATAAATGTGTTCCCTCCTGAATAAAACTGCACTAAATGTAACCGTATTATTAAAGGAGTATCATATAATTTTATAATCTATATTCTACATGTACATCTGTGCGTCACGAAGAGTTCATTCAGAAGCAGCAAAATACGCTAATTGCAATGTTCTTTGCAATGACAGATAGCTTTTGACTTCCCTGTTTTTCTGGTACAGTATTATTCCTCACCGCATTTAGTAGTGATCATAATGATTTTTTAATCTTATTGGTAATGCTGCAGACATTGTCATCTTAATGATTATCGTCTCATAATAGAATGCTCAGAGAGACAATGCAGAATTCTCCCAGTGTCTCAGACCAGCCCTTTCATTGTGAAATTTGTTCACCTTCTACAGAGACTTATTAATCATAAAAATAATATGCAAATATAGTTTTTAAAAACAATTGTATGGTTTTTAATAATAGTTTAGATTTTTTGTGTTTGGTGGCTGTATAAACAGTTTATATTTTTCTGCTTGGCTCACATATTGTGCTACTGGAGTTTTTTTTCCTCCTTTCATAATTGCTAAACATCCAGAATGTCAATTAAAAGTTATGATAGTGGCTAATAATTGAACAGTAATTGTACGTAGTGATATGCTTTAATTTTTTTTTACATTCTGAGAAAGAAATGGTTACTCATCTGCCATTTATCTAATATTATCTTTGATAAAATATTATTTTAAGGTGAATATTTATTTTTTAATTTAAACCATCTCATTAGATGCTTATGTATCTATTAGTAAGTAAAATCGCTATACAGTATATATGTTGATATACAGTATGGCAGACAACTCTAAACAAAACATTTAAGCTGTTCCTGTATAGTGTGAATGATTTTTGTGATGTGCTCATGTTTTCAGTTTTTCATTTAAATAATGTTTCATTTTATTGTCAATATGCACATATTAGAGAACAGTATTATTTATATTTTCTGAAAACCTAACTAAAAACTGTGTTTTTTACAGGTTGGCACTCAAAAAATAACTTTGTTACATAAAAATAGCAGCAAATAAGATTATATTATTTTTCTTTTAGTTCATTTATGATGTCAGACTTTAAAAATGTTACATTATCCTTCTGCAGAGAAAACTTTTCTTTATGTGTATATTTTTTTTAATATTACAGTCTGGAAAGATCCTGCTTATATACCGTGGGAAGAACTTCAGCATTTTAAAAAGGTTCCTGCTCTGGGCTTTGATACTGGTAAGTTCAGTGTAAGATTTCAGCCTGATGAATTGTGGAATACATTTTTTGTTTGCATGAAGTGATAGTCATGTGGAAATGTACGTATTATTTGCTGTGATTTAACGTAAGCTTCTCATTGCATAAATTTAAAACGCAAACGAGCCATGAAGCATCTCAATGTGGGAAAAACTTTCTGGAATGAACTGGGGTTATCTTTGGAATTCATGTTTTTCCTATTAATATGCGATTCAGTAGTTCGGTTAGATCTTAATGAAAGCGAAGGAGAGATTAAGGAAGTATTGAGTATTTAGTGTGACTCGCATAGCTGTGGGAGTGGGAGCCTATCTGTGAGGAGGTTGCCCAAACTTCACCTCACTATTGCAAAGAATGAATGATGAAAGGAGTTTGCTGCAAGAGTGAAGATAGGGAGGTGGAGGAATGCAAGAGAATTTTGTGTGAGGACGTCCTGGGTATAAGATTTATATACTGTATGCAAGCCAACAGAAGTGAATAAGATTAGGATCAAACCTTCCTCCCAAACTTCTGTCATAAGCGCACCTTGTCTTTTATTAGACAAATACTGTACCAGGATACAGAGAATTGTGCTAAAGTCTTTCAATACCTCCACACCAGTTGATAGTGTTATCTCAGATCTATTCCCGATTTCTACCTTAATACTGTATGTATAGCATTAATTGTTCTTCATTTAATGATGTGTTTTGGGAGATGATAGATGTTGCACTGGGGAATGTGGAAGCAGGCAATGTTCCTTCAAAGAAAAATGGTAATGACACCAAGTGGCATTATTAGACTGAATGAGCTGCTCTTTTTGTCTAGTAATCTAATAAAATTAATACATTATTAATATTAAGAATTATTTTATCTTCAGTGAAGCCACTTTAAAAGACAGCTTCAAATCAATGTTAAAGGTCAGCTTTTCATTTAATTACTAAAGACATTTTATTTAACTCGTACAATGGCACATTTATTAAACAAAGATCACAGTGAAGTATTAATTAGTGTATGAAATTAAGCCTTTCTCTAAAAGGGTAATAATTTAAATTTGAGTGAATCAGTGCCCTAATAAAAAGCAATATGGATTATTAGATAGATTAGAAATTCATTACATTGGAATATTTTATATGTACTGTAGCACAAACCATACATTTCAGATAAAATACCAATGTATGCATTTATTTAGTCGAATTTTAGTTAAAATTTCATTATATGAAATTAAACTTGAATTCTACGCATAGAGTTGAAATGCTTGTTGTTTGAAATGTTTTTGTGTATACAGTATGTGTAAAAAGCAAGAAAAATAATATGTTCCAAACAGATAGGTAATGTCAGAAAGGGTATTATAATGGCGAGTAGAGTGAGCTAACAAATTACAGGATGCCAAATGCAATGACATATTTAAGCACAATTACAGTACCAGATAAAGAATTGGCAACCACAGCATATAAAACACATGATTCAAGTACAATTAAATACAAGAAGTATGTAAAAATCACTAAGCACACACGTCCTCCTTATTTCATATTTTATTGGATATACTGTCACGTAGTACAGCTTGGTGACAGAAATATGAAAGTTTCAAGGTAGAAAGTCAACTGTGGGATGTAGAGATGCAGTCTGAGTGGAAGACTTTCAATGAACTCCTGGAAGGTCTTCAGATGAGCAGAATACTTCATGTAAAGTTACTGTCTATAACTCCTGCAGATTTGACACTTATACAAATATGTTTAAATGATGCTTGCTTGTTTTACATACTACCACATTAGGAAAAGCATTGCTGTGCTAACTGAGATCAATTTATTTTACTTTACAGTTCCTCAATAATAAACAAATAAAAAATATGAATTAGCATTTAAGAATTAGGTTTGTGAAATGTATTGATGAAAGTTAAATAATCAGTATTTCATTCATGAATGCAAGACGATATAAGAATACAAGAAAAAAGTTTTTATGTTTTTAAAACTAAAGAAAAAGCATATCCAAAAGGAAAGCAACAGGATTGACTTTTGTTGACAAAATATATAATTTCAGAGACATGCAAAGTCATGGGGGGAGACATTGTTTAGAAAAGTTTGCAAACATTGTGTCATCTTTAGCCTTTTCTATTAAAAGATTAAAATCCTTAGAAAAGTGAATTTTCTAAGGATTTTAATTTTAAATCCAGGAACTGGGAGATAATTACATACATACTGAAGAAGCAAGACAATCCTAGACACTTACCACAAGCCGCAGCCTGCTTCTAATTCTCAGATATCATTATCAGATTCTTAATAAGGCTAACTAAAATGCCCCTCATTTTAAATGGCAGCCATTTTTAACCAGTTTTGTCAGGAGGGCTCTATCTTTTCTTCAATACCTGACTTCTCTTAAGGTTAATTACTTCTTCGTTTGACCCTTCTTTCTTATTTACTGCAAGATGGAAGATGATTGTTCACACAAAAGGCTAAGTACCTGTGGTCTGTTGTGATGGTGACATTTCAATTAGTAGGTGGAAACAGTAGGGCAGTTTTCATCAGTCTCTGCACCTATAAGCTTTCTCTCCATTAGATAGCTTTAATCCTAAAGTCAGCTAACTGTGGAAAGCACAGCTAACTCTGTGGCACAGCAAAATGCTATAGCTATGGCATAGGCTGTATCTCTAAGATTAGAGACATGAGCTTTGGTGGTAATTAAGCCACAGGATATGAGTTACAATAGCTTAGTTTTCATTTACAAGTTTGAATCCACTTAGCCAAAAGAACTTCAACAAACTAATGTTGAAAAAGAAACAAAATAGCGATAAAAAAGCTTGTTCTCTTAACTATTCCACTTTTTATTAAAATTAATTCAAAGGCAAATCCATTGTGTGGAATCCTCAAATTGTATGGAAGGTTGTCATAGATTTTTCCTGTCAAAACCAAGCTCTGGTTTAATGAAATGAAACACTGGTTTCAATAGTCAACATTTGTATGATCTTTATCGCCTGAAGGGTTTATGCTGCCAGTACCAAGAGATGAGAACGCCATTATAAAGGCTAAAACTGCCTGTGACAATAAATGACAATGACAATAAATTGTCAGGTTTTATATTTTCTTTGATTTGATATAGAGCTCTGATCTGACTGAAATAAATGCTGTGAATACATGTAGCCTCATCTGTTTGACATAGGTGATAAGAGACTAATTATAATTTTCTATAATATAGGAAAACAGTCGTATACATGTTTCTACGTATCCTGTAAATCCAATTGCACAATTTCAAAACAAAAACAATTATTAGTACGTCAGCATAAGATTTTCAAGTAATTAGGTCCTTACACGTGTTAGACTATTATACGAATGACCTTGTCAAAGCTGTCTGCATTTTGTTGTCATTTAAGAAAGGCAAAAATGTTGACTAAAATATTGCCAGCATTTCATATGAGCCATGTTATAATGAAATTGAAACTGTCTGCTGATATCTGTCAAAAGGATTGATATGATTGATTAATGTATTTCTGTCAGCCTTCATAATTTAAATGTTGAAAAGTAATTGATAAAGACAATCTTGTAAATAGTTTTCCGAAAAAACAAACCCAGACAGTGTCTGGGACATTTGGGTCAAGCTGTTATCATGTTAAGCCCTGAATTGCAAGCTGGATCATGTTCCTGTCTTTTGTGGCTGCAGTACTTCTGTAACTTAATAAACAGGATGCCGAGTTAATTAAAACTCAACGATCAAAGCACTGCGTGAGAGATGGAAATTGAGCAGTTGCCCCACATAGTAGCCAAGTCATCAAGTGAGTAGCCTCAAGGCTCAATTGAAAGTTGCATGCCTGATATTCCAGCCCATTGACTCTGTCCTATACTTAAATTATTTTCATCTCATTGTGTCACAGCTAGAAATTTAACCCTTATTCTACAGTACAATTGCAAGAACAGAAATGTAATAAATGAGCAGATGAATGCCACCTAGTATTCAGGGAATTAAGTTACTTTGCATAGTATAATATGCATGATGTTGGCTATGCATGTACATTTATCTAACATATTTTTTCTTCTTTTACTATTCTGGTTAGTGTAGGAAGGTAATTTGTCTTTCATGTCATAAATATAAACCTGAATGATTTTTTGATTGTTGATGTCACTGTAACTACAGTATGTAACATACCCATTCAACAAAAGGGTCGGATATGGTCTTTACAGTGTTTTCCATGCACCAGTAAACATCATTGTAATTCTGTGGATCAACAACAAAATGAGAGAGTACTCCTAGTGGGTCGTTCTCATGCATTCCTCATATCATTTTTTAGGAAGATTGGAACAATATATCAATAATTAACAATGACCTTTTTGTAGTGTAGAAGAATGTTTTAAACATTAAGACACAATACTTTCTTGCATTTCTGACATCACCACAATAACATTGTGAGCAAAACTGCCTTACTCACACTACTTACATTTACAGTTGGGCACTATTTGTTCTGGATGTTTTGCACGAGTGCCTTTTAGTTCTTTTTTTCACACTCTGTGCTTTCTGCAAGCTACTAGTGTGAGTTCTACAGTATCATAAAGCACTTGGACCTCTAGGATTTCAAGTATGGGTGTGTAAGTAATTAGGCCAGAAAGTAAAAACTTTATATTAGTGGAGCTGAAGCCATTATTTGATTGTATATTTAATTAAAACCTGGCCTTTCTTTTAGCAACATCCAAGAAATTGTATCATTCTCTTTTGCTTCGAGACTTGAAGGTGCCATTGCCACCTGTAAGCGGTTCCAAGTAGTTGTTTGATGCCATTTATACCTTCAGCTCCATCAGATAAATAAAGGAGGTGGTGAGAGATGGAAGACAGAGACAAAAGTCACACAATGTCCACATATTACAAAAATAAAAGAAATGCACCTGAAGAACATACAAATGGCTTGATCTTTAAAAAAAGAACAATTTTAAACCTTCAAAAAATAAAAGATTAAGTCAAAATGAATGTACAAGAAGTCAAAAGATGCTTAACAAGGATACCCAGTCAAACCAGTAATTTGAGCATTCAACCACTTCTGTCTCTAGAAAGGAAAATGTCAACCTTGTCAAAGGGGAAGTAGAGGCTGAAGGGGTTGTCTAAGAATTTAACAGCACTTAAGTGTTTTTTATGTTTTCAATCTGGGACCATTCACTCAGTAGCATGTGAAAATAAATTGGCTTTATTGGATCAGACTTCCTTGTTACAACATGATGACCACTAGCTGTTGTAACATAAAAAGTTACATCTGTTTAACCAGAAATTGGAAAGTGGCTGCTGCTTTTTTTTTCTCCAAATGTGTGAAGATTTTAGTTTTAGCCTCTAGCACACAGGAAGCCAGATCTCTACAGCAGGAGATTGAAGAGGTTTGTATTTTGAGAGCTGTGAAACACTTCCCTGTCCAATGAGGTGAAAACTGCCTGCAGGGAACCTTTCATAGGCCTGTCACTGAGAGTTTCCAGCACTGTGTCACCAGAAGGTTAAAGGTGGCACAGTTAGCAGGCAGAAAAGAAGCAAAGAACTAAACCGACAGTATTTTGTGTTTTCTTAATACTGTATCTTGCTTATCTAAAAAGGTGTCATTGCTTCTTTTCAGCAACACTGAGAAGGATCAAAAGTGGGAAGATGGATATAAGGAGAAATATGCCATGATATATTTTCACTTATCTCATCATACAGTATATGTATACTCATCACATCTAGTGCTGGGTGTTTACTGTTTTCTGAGCCAGTATAATACAGTATGTATTATATTAAACTAATTATCTAAAAACATTTTATATGGCTCTGCAAAATAGCTTGGTGATTGAACCCCTATCATTGGAGTTGTATTGTTTATGATGCATGGCCAAGTATTCCTTGGCCTCTTTTAAACCTGTTTTCATAAGCACATACAAAACTTTTATTTAAGGTACACTTAAATGCTTTGTCTCAGTGTCTAATTATGGGTGCTTTGACAAATTCAAAATGCTCATTGTTGCCAACTCCTAGGTGTATTTATTTAATGGATCATTTCATGACTTTAATACTCTCTGAATAATTAACTCTTAAGCAATTGATTGTTTAAGCTTTTCTATCTAAGGCTAATTATTACTGGATCTGTAATAATATGTGAGAAACACACATTGCACAACACCAAAGGAGCACTACAACATGTGAAAAATGTTTTTTGAGAAGTATAATCACATTTTTATTTTCCTATGAAAGTAAAACCAAACTGTTTCCTATTATTTTTGCATCCTAGAATGTATCTATACATATACCTTTATTTATACTATATATAATAATATAGTAATAGTATTTATACAATTTTATAATGATAGTATTATAATAGGAATTGTAACTGATATATGTTCATATTGATAATATTTCTTTGTAATCTTACGTTATGTAAGCCCTCATGTGCAGAAGCAGACTATAGTACGTAGGACATACAGTAGTATGTTCAGAGAAGAATGCAAAACAAAACATGAAAATTCTTCTTCTTGTAAACATGCAATTAAACTTTCCCAATAAGCAGCTGTCTTTTCTGCATAGGATCCATACATCCCCATGAATAATTCAGTCTCAATAAATTAGGAAAACCTGTAGGGAAAAATGGTTAATTTGATTTTAACGTAATTGTTTTAGTGTCGGCTGTGATGCCCTAGAGAGGTATGATTCCAGATTTTGTCGTTACTACTGTAGGTCTGACTCAGTGAATCCAAATGAGAAATTATTAGAAGTTCAGCTATACAACATTTTTCTTGAAAACGTCAGCCCCCTGAGCATCACAATAAACTTTACTGGTAAAACTGATTCATATTGCAATATTGGTTAATTGCACTGCAAGGGCCAGGCTGTAGCAAAGAAGTCTAACAACGCATGTGTGAGAGCACAATGGGAGGTAATAGCACATTGACTTATCGGTATCTGAAAGTGAATTTATATGATTTTTCCAATAAGACATATACTGTAGTTCAGCAAGGCAGTTATCTTAATTTTGTTTCTAACCTCAAGTCAGTTTTAATTGAGCAATTTATGGTATTTGCTGTGCTCATTTCACTTACTGCACACAGCAAACTAATTGTTGGCAGTCTTGTGTAGAATAGAATAGTATAAGAACAAAAAAGATTTTTCAATGTCTGCCAATTTATTTTTTGAATGCCTCATCCTTGTGTGTCCTAATGTAGGTACAGTAGACCAGTAGTTATAGACAGCATCCTTACCACCTTAAAGGCAAATCTCTTCAAAATACAGAAACTAAGCAAGGCTGGACCTTGGATTTGCCATCCATTGGATAAAATGTTAAACTATTGTCCTGCCTATTTGGCCATTAGACTTTCTTGGCACTGCTCATAAGAGCAAACACGTGTAGTCATCAGAGCACAAGATCTTCTGTTATTTTAAAAATAATTGGTCAATCTTTCTTTAAGAAACAACCTTATGAAAAGACAGCCTTGGGACATTTACAGTATGTGTTACAGTTGTGTATACAGTATGTAAAGTACATGTACCAGGTTCCTAAATGTTGTTGAATTCTTCTGCAACAGGAGGTCAGCCTTTTGGTGCAGCAGTGTTCACCCCTGTTGGAGAGTGCTGCGTGCCAGAGGGTTTGGGAGTAATCATGGCAATCAACAGTCAACAGCCATATACTGGCTGGGGACAAGCTGCCCATGGTCCATATATCATTGAACTTACAGTGATTTACCAAGAGGCAGAAATGCATGTTAGAATGCCACTTTACAGAAATGTCTTCCCCAAACCTTTCAGAAGCTCCTCTTTCCTCAGATATGTAATTATAATAGCTCATAATTGAAAAAAAACAATAAACTCAGTGTATTTTATTAAATCCAACAGGAAAAGAGTTATACCACAAAACTGAAAAACAAGATTACATCAACTGCCTCCTGAAGTTAAGCATTTTTCTGATGATTTTGTCCTATGTCTTGTGAAAATTAACTAAAACTAACTCCAAAGAAGGCAGATGTGACTTCTGTCCCACCCACCTGAAGTATTTCCTCAATACTCTCACCACACCGAAGGCCAGCCTGAGTGACAATACGAAATGGCTGCTGTTTCATGGTGCATTATGTATTGAGGTGCTTTGCAAGATACCAATGTATCTTTTGATTAACCAATCAATGGAGGCACTCAGTGATGATCAGAGATATCAATCTCATGCTCCTTCCATTTTTTATTTTGTTGTGTCTGTTTTTTAAGTCCCATATCCCATAAGTTCCAGCTTTATTGTGCTGTATTGACCCGGATTCTATGTTTTATTTCAACCCTCAGGGAATCTTTTCAGCCATCCTCTCTAAATGCACACGGGACGAAGGATTTATACCTGTCAATAAAAACCTCTGGTAAGTGCTTTCTGTCTTCCTTAATCCTGTCTCTTTTCCAAAAGAAAGGAAAGGTTTCCAAGAGGCACAAATCACTGACTGCTAAAACATGCATTCACCTACTTGTAATGACAGAAACTATCATAAATAATCACCAAGGCTGTCTGAAAGACTGTTATGGTACAGTGCCCAGTAAAGGTAGTTTTATGTGTGTGCGCTTTTCACCATCTTTACATGGAGACAAAATTACTGTCAATATACACATTTCTCACTTAAGCACATTTAGGTTTGTCAATATGTTGTTTAGGAAGCAGACACACAAATAAATCTTTATTAGAATGAAACCTTAAAATTGGAACTTGGTGAAATCCGGGAATATACTGTATAGGTCTAATTTATTGCTGTCATTTCATTGTTGACTTGGCAAAATAAACTTTATTTTGAATATATTTAACTGATACCAGACTAATTTGCTTAAATCATTATAATGTCTTTAAAAAAACATATCATCAGATCTTAGAGAGGAGTTTTCATATATGAATTTACATTTCTTTATGTAATAAATATTTTATATATTTCTATACTGTATACAGGGCTACACACATTAATGTGATCCCCTTTTCACTAAATTTGCTGTTTTATATGAGTAAAGTTAAAGCTTAATTTCTTAGGTTACATACACAAATTCACTAGATTTTATTACAATTTTTTAAAAGCATTGCACCGAGATACAGACCAAATTATAATACTGCCATACATTGCATGACTGAATAAAATTGTAGTGCTTTCAAATTGAATTCTTAAACTCTATGTTTGTCTAGTTTTCCACTGAAATTTTGAAATTCTATACCTGAAATAGCTATAGAAATATTACCTGTAAAATGGAAATGGAATGTTAGCATCCTAAACACATTGATTGGTAAAACAGTTTTGAAGCTGTGACTATATCATCAAGATTAATATACTGTATGAAGTAGTCTTTTGACTCAGGCTCTGAGGTTATGGGGTATCATACAGTTCGTGTCTAAATGTAGACCAATTACTGGAATAGAACCAATATTCTCAGGCACACATTTATGTAAATATTGTACACAGGCACTATGAAATAAAGTGTGCATGAAAATGTCTTCTCTTGTCTTCTGTTAAACACTGAACATAATATTAGATTTTAACAGAGACACCAAAATAAGTATTATGATATCATTTTCTTAATGCTTGGTAGTTAATGCTCTCCCCATTTTCAGTGACCATTTTATTTTATGAGGGTTGGGCTAGCCACAGCCTAACCTGTTAGGCTCCAAGAGCAAGGCGAAACCACACCCTGAATAGGACAACATCCCATCACAGGCCCCACAATAGGGCCAACATTCACTCACACACGAGGGACAATTTAGAGGCACCTACTAACCGGAACAACGTGGCTTTTTACAATGGAAGGAAATAAGGAAACCTAAAGATAACTAAATCTGACATGAGTAGAATACGCAAACAGCAAACAGAAGGTGTCCCAGGTTAAATCGAACCCAGAACCCAAGAGCTGTGAGAGAGAGCTGAGCAATGATGCCATATTTAAGACATTTTTTTTGTTCTGTAGAAAATGAAAATGCAACTCGTTTAAGATTGATCATATACTGTAAGCACTAGTACAATAATATCAGTCATAGTGAAAATCAGATGAAAAACAAACTTTCTCGATGTTAATAATGCAAATTGGTCATGTCTTTATGTCTAGCAACCCTTGTGCCATCAGCAGGATCATGATAGCTTCCTCATTAGTTCATGTGTGCATGACTAGATCCCTTCAATATCCAGGCATGCCTTTGTCCATGGGTCATTTACTGTTTTCTAATCATGCTTGTACAACGGGAATAACAAAACACAGTCAATGTCCACACACCCCCACCCCAGCCTGCTCCAGGTTGCTTTTTTATGAGCAGTTCATCATGCGCTGGTTATTAAGCTCCTGAGCATAAATCATTGTCCAGAATTTCAAAAGTAATTAACTCCCTGCAGAGTCTGCTGCTCTCTGCCAAGTAGCATACTTCTCCCAAGTCTCCCTATTGACCGACCTAATTATGAAAAATTATGAACGAATATCTCCTATTGTTAAACTTTATAGTTCTTTACAACAGTATTGGAGCACATGACAGAGGTTTTATTCACATTTACATTTTTGACTTTTTATTAATTATCATAACATTCATTTCTTTCCTTTTGCTTTTCTATCATTCATTGAATCATTTTTCAAACAGAATGGTACAGTACAATATTGGAAATTATTTTTTAAAAATTTAAATTTGATACACATTATACATTTATAGATTTCTGCAGATGTGAAATTTTAACTCATATAGTGCTATCTTGACATGCTACAATGTCATTGGTTGTCCCATAAGAAAGTACTACACATCCCACTAATGCCACCATGTTGACATTACCCCCACCATGCTTAACAGAAGAGGTGGTGCTCAATGGAATGGAACATGGGCAGTTCCTTTCTTTTACCACACTTTAATCTTTCCATCATTTTGACAAAGGGATATTTTGGTCTAAGCTGCCCAGAATTCTCCTGGATTTTTGTACAACGGAGTTAATTCTGAGACATGGTGAAGCTAAGTAATGGCCTGGACACTCATGATGATGTAAATGATGGTGGCAGCACAAATAAATTCTGATGTTAATAGAAAATGTCGGCTTAAGTAGAAATAAATGTCTCACAGTGCAGCAGGACAATTACCCAAACTTATGACCAATGCAAAACAAGGCGATCATGAGGAGAAAAAAGTTAGGACATTTTAGACTGGCTTCATCAATTTCCAGATCTAAATCCAATTGAGCCTGTATTTTACATGCTGAAGCAGAATACAAAAAAAATCTGAGCACTTCAGGAATGAAGGAACTTAAAGTGGCTGCAGTATGACTTGACAAAGCACTTCAAATGGTTACAAAAAGAGTTTAGTGGGCTACAAGGGTCACACTGTTATTGCTTCATATGGATACTGTATGTAACAAAATTCTGACTTTTATACCCTGGAGTTTCCTTAATGTGAAGGTGTCCCAATGCTTACGGTCTCTTGAAAACACTGGGTTAAACATAAAACATGCTGTTTTAATGATGATGATTTGTCCATTTAATGTTCTGTCAAAAAGTATTTGAGAAACAAGCATTCAGCTTACAAATATTCAAATACAGCACTCTAGATTCAAACATACTCAGTGCTCAAATATTTCATCTATCATGATCTGTTTCTTTATTCCTTTGCAAAAACTGAAAAAATATATTTTACTCATCATTAACATAAATATCAGTATTTTAAATGCACATTTCTTGACTGTAAAGCAAAATTAATATTAATATGGACCATGATGTATGTATCCTACTAAGATAATGTTATGGCATTGTTAAATCTTCTTTTCTGAGTCATAAGCATGATAATGTACAGTATAAAACAATAGGTAGTTGAAGTAAACACTTAGAAGTAAGAAAGTAGGCAACACAAATCTTTAGAACAGAAGTAAGTCCTATAACCACTTTTTTTTCTTCTTACAGGTCTTTTTCGTACATCACTTGCATGGGCTGTTTCTCTTTCATCCTATATGGATTGATGTACTATGTAATTGATGTCAAAGGCTGGTGGGGTGGTCAGCCTTTCATTTTCCCAGGTATGGTCGGGAAAAGAGGGTGTCTTGTTCTTTACTTGTTATAATCTAATAAGATCTAGCTCTTAAGATTAAACAACAATGCATAATTCAATTTTGATCAAATGAAAAATATTGATACAGTGTGTACAAATGTAATGGAATCAAGGCAGAATAGGACTAATCCATTTGTCCATTTAATGTGCTGTCAAAAAGTATTTAAGAAACAAGCATTCCGTTTCCAAATATTCAAATACAGCTCTAGATTCAAACAAACTCAGTGCTCAAATATTTCATATATCATTATCTGTTTCTTTATTTCTTCGAAAATATTCTACTTTGCTTTGAATATTCTCATGACAATATACTGTACTCTTGTATATTAAAAGATATAGAGTATATCTTTTTGGAGTAATATAAATAAAAATGTATTAGGGCAATATCTTGTAGTTTAATTTAATAACTTTTCCATTCTGGAATCTAATCATAAATGAACTTTGAATTGATCTCAATTTATTCATGTGGCTGCAGCCCAGCTCTGATTGGGCTTATTTCCACAAGCAGCTGCACCTTATGTCATGCCACATTGAGCAGCAGTTTTGATTCATGAGCCAGTAGTACTAGACATAAAATTCTGAAGTTCTCCTTCACAAAAGGACAGAGTTAAAGAGCAGTAGTAGCTGGAAATGCTATCTTTCCTGAAAATATGCAGCTATAAATGAATAGAAGACTTTCTATTTTATTTCTATCTAAATAATAATAAACTAAACATTCACAAACATGACTTTACAAAACCAAAATAACAGAGTAGAACCAAAATTATATAATAAACTTACAGGTTTCTAACAAGCTTCATTTAATCGTTTACATTTCTTTACAGTACTGTATTTGTAAATCTACATTATATCAGCTACTTTAAAATGACTATTTCAGAACTAGTCTATACAATATTGGTCAGTTATGTTTCCATCTGTCACAAAGTTCGGTTGTTTTAAATATATATCGGTATCTTGTGCAAAATAAATGTTTTGTGAGTCAAGACTATTTACAAACATTGCAATTCTCAAAATGTTAAGTAGTTGGTCTTCTTAATTGCCTTATGTTTATTTAAGATTTTGAAATATGTTAATTATAGGAAATGGCGAACAAATCAGACCTTTAATGTTAGTTTTAAGAAGACAGAAAAGTTATAAAAAATTAAAAGTCTAAACAAAATAGTCCCAGTGACAATGATATTTTAGCACCCTACTGTATATACTAAGAAATAAAAGGCTTTAAAGCAGTACTGTAGGTTCAAGAAAACTATTAAACTTATTTTTTTCAAAATAGTATAGTAAAGGAATTATTGTGCTGTTTGTATGTTTTGATTAATGTATTGTTGTGATTCTACTGTCTCGGCAGGGATGAACTCCATCTTTGTGTATGTAGGCCATTCCCTTTTGGGCACCTACTTTCCCTTCAGCTGGGCTCTGAAGTTTGAAGAGAGTCATGGCGCCCAGCTTTTCCAAGATCTTGTGGGGACTGGTCTGTGGGTCTTCATTGCCTATTTTCTGTACAGACACAAGTTCTTTCTGAAAGTATGACTGACTTGGACACTGTGACATCGTTGGAAACCAAATGACAATGGCTATGGCCTAGACAAGCAGAAAAACTAAGCAAGAACACAATCATTTGTATTTATAATAATTAAGTAAAATAATTTTGACTGAAAAGTTTAATTAATGGATTTAACTTTATTAAATTTAAGGTCAAGAAAATAAATCAGAGAAAGTTTAGTCAAAAATTTCCTGTTTTCTTCCATAAATCCACTGGTGAGTGATATGATCAGATGGCATTTGGCTTGTGTCTTATTCCTTCACTTTAATTCTACAGAAAAAATCAATACACGTTATGTAACTAACCCTAGAATAATGTATCTGAAGGGACCGCTTGCTTTATTAAAGCTGCCACTTCTCCTTAAAGACACAGTTGAGACTTCTCGCCATTAAACTAGTTATCTGGAAAAACTGTAACTAATCGTGGTGCACACATACTGTATAAGACCTGAAAATATTCTTATTCCACAACTTCCTAGTTGAACCTAGATACTGTATGTAAACACCAATAATTTTATTACGTGTTACATTAGTATTTGTGGTTTTATAACATTTAAGTTAATTAATTTGACAAATCAATCTGACAAGAAAAGCTACTGTATACAGTATGTATTCAACATAAAGTAAGACATCTACAAAACATATAGGTGAATTAGTTTCCATGATTTACTCATATTTTTTATGTTTTTGGAATGGAAAAGTATTGTATCTTATCAAGATGTTTACAGTACATAAGAATACTTTTAAGTGTACATGCAGTATATGACTGTTTTATAAACCAGTTTTAGAATGAGTTTGAAATTACAGAATTTTGCACAAATTATTGGTTTCAACTTTAGCTCTTCAGTGCTGTTGATTAAGAGTCATTTGAATGTTACATAATACATCTCAGCCTCATTTTTATTAGTTTTATATTATTATAAAGATAAAACTTAATATCAGGAGCTGTTCTGGATGTTATCTTTAAAATAATGTTTTATATAATACAAGCGAATGATGAGTACAATGTTTTGAACCTACAATGCTTGTCTGTATTTTTTCCTGTATTCTAATGCTGTATTACTAAATTGATAACACCTGCAGACTGAAAGGTGTAATTTATGGTTCTCCATCTAAATCCAAGGGCTCTGAGCTTTTACTTGTGTGAACATTTAACACCCCCAATTCTTCACTTACAGTACATCAAATGAGTGAGTGAGTCAATGTTCTGAAAACGTATTTAAGAAATTAAAATAAATGGTTCCACTACTTAGATTTTCCATTGTTAAAGTGTTGTCTTAGGGTCTTCCTTTGAAGTAATACATAAATTGGAGTACCATCTGCTTTTGAGACCTCTATCAATCCCAGACCACTCATTGAGTTTTATTGGGTTCTGCTTACAAATGAGCATTATCTCCATACCACACATGGGGCCTTTACAAACAAGCAAGGTTCAATATACCTGAATATAGGTTAAATATATAATTAAATACTGACCATAGTACTGTACTTTGGACAACTAGAAGAATCTATAAATTAATTTAAGGAGCTGCAACCCCTGAAAATGCAATCATATGAATCGTTGGAAGTTTACATACAGTATAGCAGCTCCACTGGGCCTTTCGTCTGGAAAGAAGATCTTATTATGGGAACTGAGCAAATGAGACAACCATAATTCACCAACAAAAAATCAGGTGATTAATAATGTCTTAAGAGGAATCACACCAATCTTTACATAAAAATACTTTGATCTGTCAACAGCAAAAACAGAAAGAAAGTTTGCCTTACAATTCCATAAGATGCAAAAATGCATTGTGCACCAATGAGGGCAAGAGTGGAGAGGGAAATACAGCAGCTTCAAAACTACTTACGTCAGTTCAAATACTCAGCTCCTCAGATCCAAAGCATCCCAGGTCCATTAAAGGATACCCACTGGTCTTCTATGAAAAAGACATGAAGTGAGAGTTCAAAAGGCTAGCAGCCCTCAATTCCTCTGATGTGCTGTGCGGAAGTGTGCCTGGATCACTCTCTTTTTTCTTTCTAAAATGTATGGTTCTTGTGCCCTGTAGAGAGGCACGCAGACAGCAAAAGAGAAAAGGTGGCCATTCTGATAGCACAAACAACAGCTGTTATAAGGATGCACTTTTATCAATGATCCAATTAATTAACTTCTATCTGTGTTCCTCAATGACCCTTAGAGGAGAAGCAACTTTTAAAATAAGAAAATAACTGTTGAAATCAAAATTGTGCATACTAAAAATTATAAATGATAAATAAAACCAAATATAATTCCAAAAACTGTAAAACACCCCAACCCCATTACATATTTTGTATTAGGGCTCTTAACTTGCATCAATGCCAATCGAGCTGTGGTGTATGCACCGTTAAGAGAGGCACTGTGCTCTATAATGTCAAATTTAATATTTTGTCAAATTCTCCTGAAAGACACGAAGAACAGCTTTTAAATAATAATAGGAGTGTATAAACTTACATTTTATTATGTCTTGGTACAAAAAGTGGATGAATAAAAGTTCATTTTTGTAAGCTATGTAAGTATGTTCATTTTCTTGCAATATGTCTCATCATCTAGTCCTTGCTTTTGTTATAAAACTAAAACAGATACCCTGTTCCTTTTATGGGTTTTTCAGTAACAAACATTAATTTATACAGGACCTACATTCTGCACTGTATGTTGTAAAGCAACTACTGTAATTTGTGTTAAATGTTAAATGGAGTTTATAAAGAAAGTACAGGAGGGATGACAACAGCCAAATTCAAGCAATAATATGTGATCAACCCTGATGTTATTACATCACACAAAAATAGAAATACTGCATTTAATCCCCTTCTCTTACTCACAGACATCTTTCACATCCCTCCTCCATCCCATCTCCAACTCTGCAGCTGCCCCTCAGTCACTCCTCACTCAGCATGGGGGTCCCAGCCTCCTCGTCCTGTGGCCAGGAGCTTAGCCCTCAGCCAAGCAGGTTCAGCCGAATTAACTGTAACTAAAACATTTACAGTAAATATTTCAATATGCCATATCTTGGGTGTTGTAATTCCTAGTGAGCTAAATGTTGCAATTTCACAACACCTCATTCTGGTATTAAAAAGAGAGCCTTTCATATTTCGGACACAAATATCTTCACGAGAGAGTTTGAGAAGTCAAAAGACACAATTTCAGTTTTCCTGAAAATAAAGACTTTAGAGAATTTCTTGACTCAAAAGCTACAAACCCTGTTAGATTTTATCTTAAGTAACATTAAGAAGAATAGTTCTACACTCATTCAGATATGTGTGTGTATGCCGAAAGAAGCAAATTAAATTCATTTTGTTCTCTGTTCTTCAGTTTTAAAATATCGAATACTGCAGATGTTCTGTGATTTATTTAATTTTGTAAGTTATTTGTTGTGTGAATCATTTGAAATTCATGTCAGGTCCATCTAAGAGGCATTAGCCAAGCAAAAATCAATTTCTGGCAACTGTTCCAAACCAAATCTGCTATCATGTCTTGGAACTACAGGGGTGAAGCACTGAGGTTTTGCTATTTACATTTATGATTACAAGTCTTTACAGATCAACTTCTTTGTGTAACCACAATGAATTTCTCAACATTCAGGTAAGCAACATGGAAAAGGTTTCTAGGTTTCCACTGTGCCCATTAAAGTGTTGTTTCAGTCATGATACTTTGAATTGTTTTATTTTTTTAACTTTTGTGTGTCCATATATTGCCTGTTAGTAATTTGGGAAACAAATGATTAAATTCCCCAAGCACCAGCTGTGATGCAGTGACAAGGAAGAGAAAGCAGAAATGAAATGAAAACAGCTATGAGTTGGGTGAGTTAAGTACTTCTCCACTTGGCTCAGATTAATTGGAATTACTTTATGTTTGTCCCTGAAATATTACTTTAATTTTCATTTGCAGCCAAGAATAGTTAACCAGACTGGACCATCAAAGAATTGAACTTTCAGTTCAATCAGTTCAGAAACAATCAGTGCGGTGTGTGTATTGTTCTATTAACTGTGTACCAGAATTCAATATAAAACAAATAGAAGACCTTGGTTATTTATATTGCCTTGGTTATCTAGTGCTTATGATTCTTTAGTTGTTCTAAATTTAAATGCCTTATTATAAGGCTTGGCCAATGAGGCAGGAATTATTCTATGAATGTTCCTAGAGCGTGAATTGTGGGATCTGCAACAGAGATTAAATTAAAACATTAAAGTCCATTCAAAGGGTGCTAGGGGCAACAGACTTTAAAGGAAATACAGGTATAAGTCATCATAATGTCTAAGTAACTTGCTTATCTTTGTCACTGTGGTCAATGTTGTTTTTCATCCAATGACTATAAATTTGACTCAGTAAGAATTTCTCTTACTGAATTAGTCATTTTAGGAGAATGGAAAGAACGGTTGTGATCTATTGAGATCACAGAAATCAATATTTCAGACAATATCAATGGTTTGCTAGAAATGGCCATGCAGCAAGCAAGTACTTGGTAACAGATACAAACTACAACACTTTTACTGTACTTCAGATAAGTGGTGTAGCATTTATCATTTCAAGTACTTTATTTTTTTTTACTTCAGTGCAGACTTTGACTGTTTGCTCTCTTTTTTTTCTTATCAAAACTCATTATTCAAAACCATCCATTAGCTTCTGGTTTGCCCCAGTTTCTAATAAATCGGATTGTGTTTGATTTTAACTAAAGGCTCCAAATCTGATTTCCTACGTTTTCTACTTTGAGCCAAGATTAGACAGTAAACAGAATACAAGGGTGCAGAAGGACAAGGAGGAATTTCCAATTTCTTCTTTTAATTCTTTCTGAATTAACTTCAGATATTTATACATTTATTTAAGGATTGGGCAGTTCTTGGAGTATAAACTGGACAGTGCTAAAAAACTACCTAAAGTGACTGTTCAACTTCGTTAAACTATTTAATTTAGTAATGGTTTCTTATATACTATGCAATGCAGTATGAAAACATCCATAGGTGTAAATGTAAGAGTTCGTACACTACATATAAAGGTATATACCAGTATATCCATTATATTAGATGCAGTGTTTTAAGTCAAATATATATATACAGTTGCAAGAAAAAGTTTGTGAACCCTTTGGAATTACCTGGATTTCTGCATTAATTACTCATAAAAATGTGGTCTGATCTTCAACTAAGTCACAATAATAGACAAACACAATCTGCTTAAACTAATAACACACAAATTATAACAGTAATTAATGCAGAAATCCAGGCAATTCCAAAGGGTTCACAAACTTTTTCTTGCAACTGTACAGTATATCTCTTTCTCTATATATATCATGTATTTATCACTTTCAAAGCAAATGAGATTCTTAATACTGTCCTACAGTATTCTACGTTGTGAAACTGCTCATTGACCTTGCAATTGACAATCGCAAAAGAGTTGTGTGATTTCAAAAATAAACATTCAGATTACATCAAAGATAAAATAATTTTTAGGTATGATTATCAACATTGTGACGAAACGCGCCTATAAAACCAGTATGTTAAAAATGCAGGGGACTTTAAATGTTTATTGAGATCCACCTCTGGAGCTAGGATTCTAAAACAAGCTCATGGTGCCATAAGCAACACATGATCAGAGTCAAAGAGTTGTCCTAGGGGGAAAAACTCAGTTTTGGAAAACAAAATTTTGGTCATCTGTACGTGGAGGATAATTTATTTACATTACTTTCTGCAACCAGACACTTGTCTAATAATATACAGCATGCCTATTAAATGTGTTTTGTTTTGACAGCACCCTGAGAGTATCTGGGTGGATCCTGCGGCTGTCTCTCCATGGGATTAAACACTGGCATTCCATAGAGAAGTGAAGGGGGCAAGCCCAAAAATAGATCTCTTCAAAGACATTTAAGCATTGATGGTTGAACTTCTGTCAAAACAGATTCATTGGGACTACAGAAAATGGACACTTAAACACCAGGGTTCCAATGATGTGCACAAAGCTATCAACAAAAAAAAATTAACTCAGAAATCCTTTTGCGAATTCCTGGTCCTGTCCACCAGGAGAAGAATAAAACCCTATTTAATGCCAGGCTGCTATCAAATATCCTGGCCCATTTTGATTTACATTGAACAGCATGTGGTCCTGGATTCAAATTAGATTTTTAAATATTGATCATTTTTGAAACATAAGCCTCATTCACACATCTATACATTGTTTAACTCATTCCCTATATAGGGAATGATATATCATCTATAGGATACTGCTAGAATGCTAGATTGAAACTGAAAAGAATTCTAAATGTTTGCAAAGCAAACCTGAATATAAACTTTTCTTCAAACTTTTGAAAAGAAAGAAATGTACCAATAGCTTGGTTGAAATAGAAATTGAAAGATTTTTTTTTCTCATTCAGTTTTATTTGTAAATCAACACTGTTCCTCTGTCTAGGAAAGTGCTTCAAATTATTTAAGATGATTCTCTAACTTTAGTGTACACTTCTGTGTGCTTGAGTCAGAACTATTTTACTGGTGAGAAACCTTCAAGCAGATGTCATTTTTCATTCTTAAAGGATGGTAACATTCTGTTAACAAGAATTTTAAGCCCTCTGCACATCATTCCTGTATTGTGTAGACTCTATGTGATAATGGGATAGAAAACTTGTTTATTATAAAAGATCTTCAGTCATAATCTGAAACCTTTGTAGCTTTCTGTAATCATTCAGTTGTAAGGCCTTGGTCATCAGTTAAGTTGTTGTCTATCACTGTTGAAATGTTTTATGTTGAGTTTAGACATTTAGTGTTTCTACTAAATATGCCTCTAAGGCAGATTAGGTGCATTCCAGTTCTATATGCTAAAACAAAATAGACATAAGACTTCACAGTTTCACAAAGCATATTCTTGATGACTCTGAGAAATGCCCTGCTATATTGATTTATATAAGATGGCATATGATGATTGATCACATACAGTACTTCCCATCATACTCTTTTTGGATGTCTTCCAGATATGCAATTTTGCATTAGGTTTGAAACTTTGATCCCTGAGCATAATTTCAGTATACTTCTTTTCCTACACAAACTTATTTATTTAATTTGTTTATCTATAACTGGCTTGTCCTTTTGTTTTGTCCCTTCAAAATGTATTATTACACTTAGATCAATCATTCCTTATCTGGAGGGCTTCCAAAACACTTTATAAGCTGAAGATCAGAACTGTTTTACTGACAACCATGTAACTGTTCTCTGAAATGGATTTTTATATTCAGAGCCTCAAACGAAATTCTTGGAAAGGAGTAGACAATGTTGTAACCAAAGCTTGAAGCTCTCAGTATCACTTTAAAACTGAACCTGTGGGATGAAGACACTTTCCAAGAATTCCTATAATTCTTTTGAAAGTAGTTTCAGGAAGGATTCAAAAAATCTATCTAAGCATTGTACAACATCCTGGAATATGTTTCAGTAAAAGTTTTATTTCAAAACAATTGGGATTTAACAATATCAAACATTTTCAGTACTCACATACAGAGAGCAAACACCTTTTAAAGATATATTGATTCTGAAGTGAAAATAATACTTCAGGGTAAGCAAAATTGACATTTGCAACTAAGGAAGGTTAGGTAAATGTTGATCTGTGACTCTCTGGAGTTTGCCAGTTGAATTAACTAGTAGTTTATGTAGTGGGCACAGTCCTGAAGAAAAGCTACTTGTCAAAATATCATTAATAATGCAAAGAGCACATTTAAAGTGTCCTACATTATGAAATTTGAATAGCTTTTGAAATGTGAATAAATTTGAATACATCAAAGCATCATTTAACCATCCTGACATTGTAAGTGCTAAGTTATCCACCCATCTTTTTCTCTTCCATCAATGGGTTCTAGTCCATGGTTCCTCTTCCTGCATGAGAAAACATGGAAGTTGTTGTCATTCTATAAAGGAATGTATGAAAAATTACATTAAAGTTCCCTGCCCTCCAAGAAAATGTGTGATGGTGAATGTACAAGGGCCGTTATCCTTCCTCCACCCAGAGGCTGTAAATGAACAAGTATGCTTGAGGCATACTTGGCTGAACCATTAACAAACTCTAGAGCTGACTCTGGGTCACAGTTTTCAAAGTGTAACTTGACTTGTTAAGTGAAGACAGCAAAACTGCTTCTGGTTGAAGGTAAAACATGACTCCTGACATGCTCTGCAGTTGCCACTTATCTATGTCCTCTGTAATGGCCACATAGTAGTCACCCACTGCTGTAATTGACCCAAGCTAAACGTCTCTCACAAATGTGTACTTGGACATGGTTTGGCTAAATTACTCATTTACATGTTGTAATTTCTATTCCTTTGCATAACAAACCTGATGCCAGCAGCACTGAGCATGGGTTCCCTTTGGGAGCCTATTCCTAACAGCATCCTCCTACATTCAGTTACAGTAGCTGCTGCACTGAGAAAAGAGTAAAGAGGAACTAATCAAGCTGTTCAGGAGAACTTATCAGGCATGTGCCATACCTCAGTGTATGGCATTTTCAGCTATACAGTACCATTTTCAGCTACCCATTGCTTAATTTCACGTGTGACGTCATTCAGAATATTTACTGCCAATTCCAGCAATGAGCTGCCTGTATGACAACATACTGTATGTTGCTCAGAATGCTAGCAGCGCAGTCAAGACATGTTTTCACTTTTCAATCTAAAAATGGTTCCGATCCATGTTTCTGATCCGGTCTCATTGAAGGCTTTCATATAACTACAGTGCATAAGTATGTTTTAGATACTTTACTATATTGCAGCTGTTTGCAGAAATAGAAAGATACAGAGTTCGATTAAATTGATAGTTTCTTTTGGGATTTAATCACGAGATCTTATTGTAGGATCTTATACTTAGGTTACGACTTTGTGTTTTTATGTATACATCTGGGTGCAAGACCAAAAAAAGACGGCACTCTAAAGCACGTGTTTTTATACCTGTATACAGTATGTTAAGATACGAAAAATCGCTTTAATTATCTTGAGTCACCTTAATTCGATCCTCCAAAAAATAAAATATGTTTCTGTATCAATGGTATACGTACAACCGTTTAAAAAATAACTTCTTGAACTTCGCTCTAACTTCATTAATGAGTTAAAAAGACAGGGGTCCTGTCGCCTTTTTGTCCTCGCTCCACCATCTCAATCTCACAATCTCTCTCCCTCACGCTCATCCATTACTTGATCCAATCGCTCACTCAGGGCTCCACCAGCAGGACCGGAAAAATACCTCTCAACATCAGCTCCGTTTGAACCTCCCCCTGCATCTCTTTCAGTTCGCGAAGCAGTGAACATACAGTAGCAGTGCCCATCCTATCGACGGCAATGGGACAGCCAGGTTAAGGACTGTTTCTATTTTTCGTCTTGCTTCCTAACACAAAACCTGACGCCTTTTAAAATATTTCAAATAATTTACTTTAAAAGGAACTGCTTATGAACTGCTAAGCTGTAGGATTTAAAATATCAATAACACAACTATGGGGGGAGCGTTCTGTTTCAGTGGCAGGACTTTGTTCTATCTGCTTGTTTGCAAAGGTAAGATTTATTCCCTTTGTGTATTTGGTGTGCATTATCGTATGAGGTAATCGTGACAAGTCTTTAAAAGCTGGATATTTGATCAGTTGCTTATTTATTGCATTTTTGTAACTGTGAAGAAGTTTAACCCATGCTTGTTAATTCATACAGTAAGTGCACCTGTAAAATAATCTCAAAAACACGTCCATGCGTCCATTGCAGAGCAGTTAACTAGTTTAAATACTATTTATTATATCTCAATGCCTGTCTATAATAATAAACAATTTAGATAAGAGCTAAACGTAATTACATACAAAGCCAAAAGCTAAAGCTTTATAGACTAGTTTTGTCAAGAAAAAAGACAAATCATAAATTATTTTTTAAATGAATTTTGGCATACATATCATACAAATCTTTCTTGTTATTGGTGTTTTGAGTGTAGTCTACTATACACTGTGGTCATGTTGAAATAATTAGATTACCGAATGTTTTTGTTCTGACTTAAAGTTGTAAGTGTAGCTTCCCAGCTAACCAAATAACTAGTTGGCAACACCAAAAAAGTTGCAACTTAGTACAGAAAAGTGCGGCACTGCAAATTTGTTCCTCAGCATCCAGGAGATGTTGTGGAAATATTTTTTGCAATCGTATCCCAGGAAAAACATAATAACGCTGCTGCTGTAGGGACCACTTGCCAGCTCGGTATTTTGTGAAATTCATAACAATGGATATAAAACCCTCCAACTACCGGCTTCTAAAAAACATACAGCCAGAAGTTTTATAACACATCTATAATGCTCTTAAAGGTCTGATAACCAAAAGCTTCCGGGTATTTTGTAAACGCATTGCTAATGAATTTTGACAAACGTAACCGAGTCACAGCCTTTTAGCAACATTTAGAAATGTTCAAAAGCTGGGTCTGTATTAGTCACAATTGTCTCAAGTGTAAAAAAAAAAGAAGAAAGCACTCAGATCACTGTTAAAATCATTTAAGCAGCAGTGCCCATAAGAATCAAGTTACAAATACATTTTCTTCACTATTAAGGAGAAAGCATTAAGAAAACACTATACATTTGTAACTCATAATTCCAGGAAAGAACCATTTGCAATGCCACTTTTTTATTGTTTGAGATGATTACATTTTAAGTGATAATACAGTAGTTATCATAAAAGTAATAACACTATCTTTAATTTCAGAAGTTCCATTAGCTATTAAAAACCATAGTGATCATGTATTCACTCTGTTTCCTATTTATTTAGTAATTGAGAATTGCAAAAGAATCCATACTGAACTTAGATTCCAATTCTGAATATTTAAATGAACAGTAATTTACAGGATATCAAGTTAAATTGCAGTGATCTAATGATATTCTAATGTAAAAAAAGCTACCAATTTTGAATCAACTACTGAAGCATTGACCAGACATTGATGCATAGGGGTGATAAATGAGACCTCAGCATCAAAATCAAATACATGCTACGTTCTACACCAATTCCTAAAAAAGGACATGCAAGCAGAGCTGATGTTGTTTCCTATTACTACAGTACATACTTTTCCATGTTTGTTGGAAGTTAAATTAAGGTCACAATCAGGAGAAAAGAACAAAGGAAATATTTAACATTGTCTTCAAAGTGATCACTGAACACAATGCATTACTGTTTAAGGTTCATGAGGTTATTTTCTTGTAGGACAAAATAATGTGTCTTTTCTCCTCAAAGACCCCTGTCTTGGTCTTACATTTAAACATTTTGTTTTAATTTGAACGTGCAGTTGAAAAACTGAGAAATCTGATCAATGGAGAACCATGGAGAAGCACAATGTACTGCAGGTTATAGGAAATACCAGTAACTATTAGATACAGTATATAACATTTTAACCATTCAGAAAGACTGATTATTTGTTTAATTGTTTTTAAAATAATTTTAAAAAGCACATTGCAATACACTTTTTGTAGTTTCTCTAAGACAAACAGCACAATTATGGTACACAAGAAGAACAGGCATACCTGTACACACTTGTGAATCGGTATACCAGTAGGAGGACGCCATACACAGTCTCTGAACCTTTCAACTTAAAATGCATTTCAAATGCATTTTCTCCAGCTGTAGGATACCCAGTCATTTCATATTGAAAGACTTTGTCTTCACTCAGGATTGTATGAAATGCAGGATGGGCTATGCTGTACATCCAAACCTGATTGCAGGGACAAAAGACAGGAGTTCCACTTAGAAATTACATACACAGTTTGTATTTTTAGCATAAAACCAATATGCTGCTGTAACCATAATTTCTTGTGCTTCTAAAATTAGCATTAATGAGTAACAAGCTTTTAAAAAGTGAAAAGATTTTTCTTTGTTACCAACAGTTTGCTTACTAGGGTGCTTGGGCTCTGCAAGTATCCCGCCGTTTGTGACCGTTTTATTTTGTTTCTTACTTTAATTGACTTATGAAGACTGCCCTTGGTTAGAAGAATCACTGCCTGCATGTTATAATCCTTGTGCGGTAAATTTCACCTTTTGATACGAAACTGTCTTCCATGCTCGTGGCAGTTATATCACGTGGCAGGACTGGCAAGCTCTCCACACAAGTAGAACAAAAAAGACACAACTAGGACTAGGAGTGTTTGCAAGGGAACCCCACATTTTCTGGAAATGCAATTCAATCATGACCTGCAAAATACTTTTTTATTCATTTCTGTGAATGTCTTATTCTGTCTTATTTTTTATGTTTCGGTAATTGTTCGAGAAATATAACAGTATTTAAGAAGGACTTGGAACTATACAAAAAATAAAATCCAAATTTCCCACATAAGAATGAAATATCTCTTTCTCTTTTTAGTAAAAAAATTCAAATCACTAGTCTTTTTTATCCATTAGGTCAAGTTGCTATGGACTTCACAGGATTTCCTTTACCTTCTAGCTAGATATACTGAAAAAGACATTTTGTTCATTAAGTGCAATGTGGGCGGAGAGTGTTCTAATTGACAAGAATCAATTCATGATACTATAATGATTACAAATAAATTTGAAGTGTTTGTGGTTAATATTATATCTGTACTCGAAGAATATTTTCAAAGACTTCTAGTCAAGCTTTCTAGTCAAACAGTCAGAAATAAGCTTTTCTTTAGTACGTTGTATATAATCCATCCTATATTTTGTTTCTAATAACAAATACTCCAGAATTGTGTACTTGTCTTGTATTCTGTTCTTCAATGATGTGGACATACATAACTTAGCCTTTTAAGGAATCAGTTGTAATAATTGGAAATAATGGTATCATCTTAAATTGATAAAAACCTTGAACAGACATTTTGAAGAATTGTTAAGAGAAATTCTACACTGAGATTTGACTAATAGAAGTCTCAACATTGGTGTATGACAATACTTTTAGGAAGGGTCTTGTATACGAATGCTTCTTGCTGAACTTTGCTGGAAGATGCATCTTGGTTGGTATAGAATTGGCATATTTCATTTACAAATTAATGTGAAAGTTTGTTGCAGTAGTAAATGGCTTATTTTCAGTTTGTTTCTCTCTAAAATGAAAAAGCAAGTAGATGTAATTCAAAATATAACGGCTTATCCTTTTTTATAATAATGATATTCTAATGATCTTCCAAAATTCTTAATTTCTTCAACCTTTTTTTTTGGTTTATGGTTTGCGATAAAACTGTTCAGTGGTCATAATACTGCTACAGTACAGATGATCCCAGTAAAAAATGAAAACTATGCTTTCTCCCAGTTAAATTGTCAAAGAATTAAAGGCCAATGCTTGTGTGCATTGTGTGAGTATGTATTCTGTTTCAAATAGTGTAATATTTTGCTTTGTCCCATAGGAAATGACCAGGCTTGTGTGTTTTGCATCACATACTAATGTTAAGAAAACATTAGGTACCACTTTTGTGCCTGTACTGAGCAAATTACACGCTCATTAAATGTGTGCTTGAAAAAGCTAGAAAGGGTTCTTACGCAGAATCTGAATCAAACTCTTTTATTAATCCATCCTAAACAAAGCCTTCCAGATCAGAGCGACATGGTAAGCAGGTGTGCAGCAGGTGCAATGGACCCAGTGCAAACAGAAAGTGTTTGTCTGGCAAAGAAAAAAGAAGCTGGTAGTAAAATAATAGGGCATCCGGCCTTGATAGCAGATAAAAGGTAAACAGCCTCATTAAAGATACAGGGTTCTTATCAGTAGTTCTCTAAAATAGATATCCAGTGATATTTCTTGAATGAAAATACTGAATAGAATATTGTGTACATTTTGACACTTTAAAAAATGAGGTAGTCTACTTACAGTATACATTTGTGAACTGACAACTAGTTTTGTATGCTCACTATACAGAGTTTTAGATACTGAAAGTGTAACTTTAATGTAATAATTCTATGGTTTAGCATCTGTAACAATCTATTTTATGACCTTAGATCTTATAAGCTATCGGTTTTCATCTTCAGATTAAAAATACAGTTTTTATAGGAGAAGTTAGCTGTCTTACCATGAAGTAATAACTTCACGGCTCCTCTGTGTTTTTGAAAACAGTATTAATAAAGATTTTCAATTTGGGAGTGGTGACAGCGTTTGGACTGCAATGTAATAGTAGAAGTTAATTTCTACACTGAAAAGTAAACAGATAAATGCAACATTTTGTCTGTTGAGGCCTCCTCAGGTGTAATGGAAACAAAGGAAAAGCTGAAAGTTTTCAGGTATTAGAAAATACAACTACAGTCACTGTTGAGGGCTCACCTGAGGTCATTTTATACTATTACAAAGCTAATAAAGGAGGCTAATCCATTTTTATTATTATTGCATTTAGTATCAAAACACTTAATTTTCCAAGAACCTTATGGAAGCATTTGGGTTAACTTTATCCCCCTTCATTCACACACCGAAACTGGGAAGCTTGAAGTTCTTATCAAATGCAGAACCAAGTTAGCCTGAATTAGTTCTTGGTTAGCTAAGCCATGTCAGAAAGCATCTTCATAGGGTTGACCTATTTTATTACTCAAAAGTCTCTTTTAAGTGATTTTAT